GGCTCGAAATAATGTTGCACTTGTTTACAATACACACTGGAGTGAAACAAAAAACGCGTGCACTCAGTATGACGTCACGCAGCGGACTGAAATGTAATCTTATAACAAACAAAGAACTTATACCGAAAGTAATTTTGGTGATATTTGTAAGCGCAAAAATACTGTTTTATAATTGGCGTCCGTATCAATCAGCGGCGGTCAATGGGTTAACATGTGTTTAACTAAACAATGTCTGATTGTATTTTGTGAAGTGATACACCTATTGTATAGTATAGGTATTTTTCAATATTTTTTACCCAAGAACGTACGTTAATTTTTCTTTAGAGCAATGAACTTAAGCTAAGACTTACAGGTCTCGTTAAAAAATTAAAAATGATTTTTAACAATGGTTGTTGAACTAATTTGAAAGTATGAAATATTTGTTGTCATGAATACTTTTGTTAGGAAGTAAAAGAAAAGTAAGTAAATATTACAAAAACAGAATATAATGTGATTTATTGTTTTATTTTTTTTTATTTTTTGATAATTGAAATTTGAATATCAAATCGTTTGTTTTTTCGATCAAAATAGGAACATAATGCAGAAATGCTCTCATTGTACTGTTAAATTTAGTACAAGCAAAATATTCATAAAACTTAAATTACCTCGTTAAGCCGGAAAATGTATGTTTACTACCTCTAACTTCTATTAAACAATTTTTAAACCTCTCACATCAAGATAAATAAAATTAAATAACCTATAATTTACCTTTTGAACGAACCAAGGTCCGTCGTCCTCCTTATAAACGCTTTTACAAGGTCTTCCGTAGACAAGGAAGAGATCTTCAAATTTATCAAATTTTATTCGCCGTTGAAACGCATTCATGAAGAACATATCCAAACCTTCGTTCATTATGATATCTTTATCTGTCATCTGCGTACAATTCCTTCCATAGATTACCGATCCCATCGGGCAGCATTTCCTTAAGCAGTTCTTAACATCGCACACACAACCGCGAGTTTCGTTAACACCATTAAAGTTTTTCTTATAAACATATTTCGGCGGGAACGCGAGACCGTTTTTAAATATTTTACCGTCTTTTAAAATACCATCGGATATATCTATACTATTTTTATCTTCGCACGGCTGGCTATTGAATTCGCAGACGTAAAGGAGTATTAAAAATAAAATTCGTCGCATTTTATAAGATGTGAATCGCGAAACACTAAAACTAGTTTGCTCGGTTTCGCGGGACGCGTACGTGACACGCTTTTGCGCGGCCGATAAGCGCTGCACTGGCCTACCGCGAGTTTGGTTCTCATTTATATGGGCTATAAATGTGATCACTTAAATTTGTCCGCTTGATAATTTGATTACTGCAGACTTCATCTTTTAAATTCTCATCTTTTAGAAGAGGTGGAGTGTAGGTTATGATACATATTTTAATCATCCACGGTAAACGTTATGTAATTATTATTATATGAAAAATCTGTCCTTTCTCCGCAAGTGTTTTACTTTTGTTATCGATATATTTTAAATTGTATAACCGTAAGGAAACAAGTACAAGAAATCGTCGTATTAACTCCTAACATATTACTAAGATTATACGAGTAAATGCGAAAGTTTAGATGGATCTTCGTTGGATGGATGGATGTTTGTTCGAAGTTGTAGCCTAAACCGCTAAACAGATCTCGATGAAATTTGACATGGATGTAGAGGATAGTCTGGTAGAGCACATTTTTATTTCCACGTAGACGGAGTTGCGAGCGAAAGCTAGTAAAAAAATGTTTTACTCGTTGATTTGAATCATAATTATTGTTAAGCTAGTTTAGCTTTCGTTTGCGACTCCGTTTGCGTTATTAAAAAAAATCGCCAATTTATCCTTCAAGACTAAGCTCTACATCTATTCCAAATTTTCAAAAAGATTCAAGAGGCTGTAAACTCTACCAAACATCCATTCATCTAAACTTTCGCATTTAACACGTTAGTAAGTAACATAGAAACGATCGACCTTAGTTATTTAATAGGTTATCTTGTAGATAGAAATTTTAAGTCTTGAATTAATGAAGATTATAAAGTTAAGAAGATAACTTAATATGTAGTAAAGAAATTAAGATAGGGTTGTAAGATAACTTCCGAAGTGAAAATAAGTAACAAGTTTGCTGAAGATTTTCTCGTTTCATTTACTAAGATTGCATTTCGTGTGACTTTCAAAAAAACTTATTTCAGTTAAAATGTTATATCAAATGATACTGTTTGTTAAAAGCTGTCTTAAATGCATTAGTAATCCGTGGAATAGAATTCCAGTAAATATGATCACATCGATTATGTCACAAGTACTTTGCAGTAACATTTATGTAAGCGACTGTGATAATGGCCAGGTTTATCGAGACTGGTTCGTTTTTGCAACATATTAAAAGACAGTAAACTTATCTTTTTAATCGTTTATTAAATCGATTATTTAATCGGCTCGATATGGAAATATTTAAATGGAAATAATAACAATGATAGAGCCCTTGAAAAGTGAAAAGTGGATTTGACGGTGGAAGAGACGTATGTACATATATAAGAAGGGTGGCCGTTCGCTCGTATGCCACCTTATAATATAAAAAAATAAAAATAAAAATAAAAGCCAAATTACGTGTCAGAAAAATGAAATAGTATCAAAAACTTAAACTTTGGAGTTAACATATTTTTATACATCTGTTTTCATGACTTTGATATAATTTTATCTAATCACTAGCTACGTCACTTAGGGGCTCATAGCCTACTCTTATAAGTGGTGACTAGGTCATAGTCAACAACGCTGGCCCACTGCACGTTGGTTGACTTCACACATACGAGTATCTTTGAATTTCTTTGCTGATATGTGCAGGTTGCATCACGATGTTTTCCTTCACCGTAAGAACGTCGGGTAAATTATGTACATATGAAATTCGAAAAACACATTGGTACATTGCAGTTTTCGAACCCAAGACCTGTAGATAATAAGTCAAGTGCTTGAACCCCTGAGCTACCGACGCTCCGCTTACAAAATTTAGAATCTATAAATAAATAAAATAGATATTTAAGAATTGATCACGCTGTAGGTCAATTTCTAAATTAAGAACGAATCATCCTGTATAGTTGCTTTTTTGTACAATTAATTGGGTTTCTTCAGTCGACCCTGACGACAATCCTTTTGGGATTTATCGTCCTAATTTGATTGTATAATAAAGTATTTTTTCGGGAATTCGTAGAACGATGCCAATTGTTTTTCGTAATTTAATTAATATATTGATTTACGGTCTGTAGTTCGATGTAACTACGTGTTTCATTTTGGGACCAATTTTCTAATTCGACTAAAATAATCGAATTATAATAGTCTCAATGGTGTATTGTTGATTCGATATAGTAATAAATTTTATCAGTTACTTGGTAGTATACCATTCATCATCAAACTTGCCCTTGTCCCTACGGAGGGTCGGCACAGTATGTGCTGCTCTTCCATACATATCTATCAGCCGTCATATCTGAATCCACTCCTATCTTAGGCATATCCTCTTTCACACAATACATTATACTTTCTTCGGTATTCCTCCACCTTTGTAGCTATATGGTGTGCAATTATGTCCCTAATATGATTGTCTTCAATTATGTTAATAACAAAAGAATTGACTAAATTGGAGAACCGATTAGATTTTAGTAATCTTTGTTTTATTTCAGCTTTGATACTAATTTTTTGCTCACCTCACGTAGGATAGAGAGAACGATGAGGCGACCTTAAGCCTGCAACACATGTATGTATGCACTTATGGAAGTAAGATTTTAAGTGTCTGTTTGACCATATAGTTCTCAGTTATACCTACTCGTATACACGTACGTTTTCAGTATACAGTTTAAACTGAATGTGTGTTGCGGGTTTACTAGACATAATTTATTAGTTCATGTCCACTAACAATTCACGCATACTGCGAAACGCGTCCACTCTATGCTAAAGTATTATAAATTGTCACGCAAAGACACTTATTTCATATTTTCCTTATCCCATTGTAGTTCAAAAGTTAAATTTTTAACTCCACGTGAACAGAGTCTTGTGCGAAATCTAGTAAATAAGTTGAATGAAAAAATCTGGATATGATCTATTAAAAACATTGTAATTACATGAATAAAAGTTTCCTGACTATAAAATTTAATTATCCAAACCTTTTAATTATTAACGTAACTAATAAAATACATCGCCGAGCTTTAAAACAGAATTTATTAAACGACGTTATTTTCCATTACTCTAAAATGTTGCTGCTCCCAGGAAGTCATCTACATTGCATTCAAGTCACGTTGATCAGAAACGTATGGTTTTACTGTGGAATCTGGTTTTTGCAAAGTAGACTTAACAAAATATTTGCATTTATCTTCCTATGCGTTTCCTCCATCTACAAATTTTCCTTTCCGCCCTATTCTCATAAGAAAAAGGACTAAAACCAGGACTCCGGCACCCTCACTCATCAGACGAAACGCGGAACCGCTCCCACTTTACGCCTGTCTTCGGTATGGTCGTGATATTGCAAAGATATTAAAGCGGGCTCTACCACTGTTATATAGCTTCTAGAGTAGAAACTAATAAAGTGTACTACAACTCTATCATTTGTATTATTACATTACTAGTTATCGCTTGCGACTCCGTCCGCGTGAAATTGAAAAAAAAAAAACAAAAGTGAATAAAGTAATCCTCTACATCTATGCCAAATTTCATCGAAATCCATTCAGGTGTTTAGGCCACAAACTCTAACAAACATCCATGCATCAAAACTAGCACATTTATAATATTAGTAAGATTACATTACTGATAGAGTCGTAGTTTTATTAATTCACTTACCTCTTGTAAGAAATGTCGATTATTCAACCGATACTTCATCCTGCACGTAGAACCTTCCAGAATGTTGAATTTACTCACAAGGTTTTTCCAGGCGATGATTTTCTTGAAGAAATGTAAAGGTTGCAGATTTGCCATAATTAAATCCGAATGATCACTCACTGGCACACAATATCTACTTGTTTTATTTTTTATAGAATAAATATAACCTAAAGGACAGCACTTTGATATACATTGGTTTTTACAAAGTCCAGTTTCTCTTTGTTTAATTTTTTCATAAGTTATATTTGCACAATTACTCCATTGACAAAATATTACTATTAAATAAAGATGGATTGCTGTAGTATACATGTTACATGTGATATTTTTGAATGATAGTTTTTTTAAGAAATCTGAACACTATACTTATAGATTTCTTTGTAACTATTGAGAATGATACAAAGCTAGTAATGCATAGTACGAGTAAAGATGGAACTGATACAAAAATGTTGCAAACATTCATTTTATAGTCGTGTTAATGCCCTTTGTGTTCATTAGTGTAATTAAATGTGTATATTTATTGACAATAGAACATAGTGTGTTCGGGGAATAAAGAAAACAATAGAGTATGAATTACATAGTTTTAATACTGTTAAAATTCAACAATAAACAATTTACAAAATGAAAACTATTTACAAAAAAATTAATAATAACAATTACAGTACGTAATGAAAAAGAAGTACATACAAATAATTAAATGCAATTTTAAGTACGATTTAAAAAAAAAAAAACGAAAAAAGAAACTGTAAAAAAAACCTTTGACAATTTATTTTGATCAATTTTAGATATAAAGCGTTTTTAGATAAAGATATTTTACAAAATTTTGTAAAAACTCCATTAACAATAATAAGTAGGTACAAATTTGTGCAAACACTACCGAGTCAATGCTAAATAGCAAGATAGTCATATTTAAATAGATATAGAAAATTGATTCATTCACTTTCATTTATTCTAAAGAGATCTAATTAACTTTCATAGTACATTCTAAATTTCTACGGCATCTGGAAAAACATGATCCAGGTACGCTTGATGACCATAACTCTGAATCGGTCTTGGTCTCTCCTTCTTAAAGTTTATTGATTGAGCATAATTTTTGGTATTCCTATCGAATTTAGATGCGATTTCTCTAACTTTACCAGGTCTTGGTTTATAATCTTCTTGTATATCTACACTGTGGTTTACATTTGATGATTTCTGCTCATTTGTCGGACTTTCTTTAATTCTTCTTTCTTCTGTATTTTTGTTTACACTCTTACGACTATGGTTTGATGTTCGAAAGCTCTTTGGATCACTTATAAAATCTTTTTCAGACGCATTCCTTTTATTATCAGAGTTATATTTAGAAGTGTTTCTCTCAAATGTCATGTTTTTGCTTATATTATTTACATTAATACTACTATG